TATATATATATATATGATTATTATATATAGCCCTACCTAGTCTTCACTACATGAAATGAACTAGTTATATCCCATATTTCTTCTCACTCTTCTCTCTAAAATCTTAATTTCTCTCTCATTTCGTCCATCCACCTCATATTGTGAGAGCAAAATTTCACACTTTTCCTACTTACAACTTCCATCAAAGATTGTGCTTATCTAGATAAGCAACTTATCTTGAAACAAGGCCCGCCGGCCCGCGTTTAATATAAAAAATTCAACCGCGTTTTCGGATAAGTTGCTGAAACGTGTTTTCCAAACAGTGAGGTGACGTTTTGAAAACGCCGCTCGCACTTATAAGTTACCCCAAACAGGTCCTTACTCATCATATTTTCACACCATCGCTCTTTGTTGATTAACTGTCATCTTTATTTCATCACCTCCATGTCCCATTGGGTCAGATTCTTTGGTTTTCTCCCTTCACCGGTTTTCCACGTAAAAATTTCTGGTATCACTGCTAGTTGTTTTCTCTCTTATGAGTGTGTGTTAAATATTTATACAATGCTAAAACAATAATCTACTACCCTACTGTTGTGAATCTTCTAGCACACATTAATAATTATTAATATTGCAGCAAGTATATTTATGTTAAAAAATTGTTTTATGATAATAAGTTTGTCATTCAAAAATCATTTCAATTATTACAAATTAATCATTTGAAATTTAAGTTATCAACCACGTATTCGCATGTAAAAATATTTCGCATGAACTTTGTTGTTTCATGTGTTTCTTACTAATCTAATCCTTGCTAATATTTTTCTCACCACAGAAATGCTACTACAAGCTTCTATAACTGAATGGAACTTAGCTCTTCGGTCGATTATCAAAATTAAGGTAACTTTTAAGAAGATTTTATATATGAATTTATTTGAATAAGTATTATCTCCATACAATGTTTGACAACTATTTAGGATTTGTGTGGGATCAATTTTGTTTTAAAATTTAATTTTTATTTTTAATTTATTTTTAACAACATGTTCATTTAATCTATTATATATATATTTTTATTTTTTATTTTTAAAGATAAATAAATTTATTTTTGAATTATTCGATCCAATTTGTTGATATTTTGAGTGTTTTTATAAATCATCATAATGTATTTTAGCTTATCGAATATATTTTTAACAAATCAAAATAGAGATAGAATAAAATAAAAATAAAAATAAAATAAAATGATTCCAAATGTCTACTAGGATCTTGATTGTTTTCATTTGACTGAATCATGGGCATAGTAGTATTTTGTCCAATTAAAGCAGCTGGCATGCACATCACTATTTTTTTTCACTACAATTAGTTTAAGCAAGCAATAATAACAGCATAATTGTTTGATTTGAAAAAGTTATAATAGAAATAGTTATAAGAAATGATGATGAAAAGGTTGAGAAATTCGAATGACTTGTTTTGTCTCGCTTGCTTGGTTGCAATAAAAATTTGTAAAGTTTATTTTTCTCTTAATTTATCTGATAAGAAATTAAATTCTTTTTATTTTCTTTCAAGGAGTGAAGGAGAAGAGCAAATGCATAAAGATGATATACTATTTATTTTTAATTATTTTAGATTAAAAATGAGTGAAAAAAGTATCAATAAGAGGGATTGACAAATGTACCTCATAATTCTTATGTATTTACATTTCTAACTAATATATTTTTATATTTGCATCAATATACAACACTAAAAAATTTTAAAATTATATTAAAAATATCACTATCATAAACTCCTAAAAGTGAAATACTTTCCATGTATAAAGTTGTCAGCATCAAACTTTCAGATGTTGTATTTATAAATGCAATGAATTTGTGTGTATTGTATGTAAATTTCTCGTAATAATCAAATTATCTATTAATTTGGTTGAACCAACTACCCTTCGTTCCCCAAAACCCTTCATAACTGAGAACCAATTAGGGCTATCAAAAAAAAGCTAGTTGTTTGCGAACATCTAGTGTTCGACTCGTTCGTTAAGTAAATGAGTTGAACACGAATAAGTTTTTAAAGCTCGAATTATAAACGAGCCGAACATGAACAACGCTTTATTCGCTCGTGTTCAGCTCGAAATAAAAAAAAATATAATTATTTTTATAATAATATATTATGTATATGATTTATATAACAATATATTGCATATATTTATATTTAAATTTAAATCATGATACCTTGTGTAGTAACGTGGTTAGTGTGTTCTTTTGCATACATTTGGTTCATTTTCTAATCTAATAATTTACCTCTATCTTTTTCAATTTAATTTTAAAGAGCTAATTTTGAGCTGAACACGAACAGAACACAAACATGAATATTTAAATCGAGCCGAACACGAACACACTATACACGAGCAGATTTCATACACGAACAGTTTCAAACAAGCTGAATAGGGGCCTTCACAGCCCTAAAACCAATTGGCGACATATGTGAAAACTAAAGCAACGATGAAAAACCAATTCATTCAACAATTCTTAATAAAAAAATAAAACTTCAAAGCCGGCAATCTCTTACCTGTTCCATTAAGCGCCGGAGAAGAAGAAGACAGAGCCTGAAACAACGACAAATCGAAAAGGGCTATTGTATCGTAGGTCACGATGCAGCTCGTAGACACGGATCCTCCCCCAAGCATTTTAGTCCAACCGGTCTTTTCATAACTTATGAGCCCGACGCTGAGACACCGCTGACAAGCCTCGGAGGACAGATCCATGGTGCACCAAGCCATCCCGTAAATATCCCCATTCATATCGCTCGTCCTCACGCCCGCCGCGATTCTCACCACACTCTTCATAGCCTCCAACAACAGCCCTTCCAATAGATCCACCACATGCTGGCTGTAATGCACCTCATTCTCAGCGATTTCTTCCTTATGCAAGTTTTCGTAATTCGGGTTTCCCAGCGAAGAAGAGAAGTAATGGTCGTCGTAGCGGAGAACACAATATTCGTTGCGCACGAAGGCAGATTTTTTTCCGGGGCAATTGTTGTTCATGGCCAAGCCAGCAGCGCGCATGAGGCAGTTGGTGCAGATGGCAGCGGACTTGTCGGGGCGACATTGAGCGAGGCCGTAGATGGTCTGGTTCTCGGTCCCGACGATGTAGTCTTCAAAGAAGAGGTTTTCGGTTTTCGGAGTGGTGGAGATAAGGCGGGCTACAAGGAATTCGAGTTTCTTGGCATAGAGGCTAGCGGAGATGTAGTTTTCGCCGGAGTGGCAGGAGACGAATAAGGGGTCGACGGCGGAAATAAGAGATGGTGTTGTGATTAGGTTTGAGATTAGGAAGGAAAGAAAAGAGATGTGAAATGTGGAGGGGTTTGTCATGGCTTGTGGAAAAATAATGGTAAAAATTAGTTTTTGAGGATTATAAAGGCTTTTTGTTGGGGGAAAATGATGGGAATAATAAAAAAAAAGGATTAGGTTGCCTTGTTCAACAAACAGGTTACATAAAATATTACTGAATAAAGCTTAGTGCTGTAAAATGCTTTAATTAAAAGTTATTTCTAACCTTTTTGATTGTTGCACAATGAATTAAAATGTCCATCTTATGATATTTTAAAAAACTTTCTAAAAATTGCACTAAGAGATATTTTATTAAATTATAAAATATTTTTTTAAGTGAATGAATGGCATTCAATGATAATGTTTAGTGACACAATTTATCTGTGTATTTGCGTTTCGAAGTCCTATGAGTCAAGTGGGCCCCATCGTAATGTTGAAAATGATGGAAACTACTTGCACACGACGTCTCACCATTGGACTCTGAATGCATTTGGAGTCCTGATGTAATATTTTCTCATGTATTTGAGGGAATTATGTGGTAATCCAAATGGATTTAAGGAAATCCTAAATCAACATTTTCAACATGATCTACCCCTTCTAGTATAATTGCACTGCATGATGAAGACCTCGTGCATTATATTTAACGATATCTTGTTCAAGATACCCCCTCCCAAGTTGATCCTAAAAAAAGAAATGAACAGCAGCCTCTATTAAATATGTGAGACAACGGAGGATGAGTACGTCAATATCGAATAAGATTGAATTTACTAATGTGAAAGAGAGTGGTTCGCATAGAATTTGAGGAGTCAATAGATGATAATATAATTCATTGAATATAGATGATATGGTGATTAATTTAGAGATGATAATTATGGATTTATGGTGAAACTGTGCTAGGAATGGTCATGTGGTAAGCTGCTGCAACTTAGCAAGATCGTGGCAAAGTCCACTAAATGTGATTAAAGATCTTCAGAATTTCATTTGATAGATCGACATAAACATAATTATCTCAGCATCTACAAACATCTAATACGAAGCCATGATTAATCATCAAAATTTTTTAGCACTTTTTAAGAAAATTGTTTGAATATGTATTTTGTGAAAGTGTTTAGTTAACTTGTATTGTGTTTCTCAATTTTTAATTTTGTTAAATTTTAGTTTTTAATTATTCAAGATTGTTTGTTTTATTGGATATATTTGTCAAATGATGTTATTATTATGCGTAATGTTTATCCATTATGCTCAACACTATCGATAATTTTCCTTCTTCCAACATAAATTTTGAGGCATGATACGAATCTCTACAATTTTTGGAGAAAGAAATGTTCAAACTTTAATTAAAAATATCCCGAGCTTTGATTTTAAAAAACTTATAGTCAAATTGACCGGTTTGACAAAACATACCTAGCAATATAAAAATTGATTCAATCAAAATAAAAATTAGATCAAGCCATTAAACTGCTTTTGAAAGTTTTCAATGCATAATATAAAAGTCAAATAGATTTCAAAGCTGACATACTTATAGTCAAATCGAACGACTCGACAAGAAGAATCCAAGAAGTCTAAGATCGCTCAATTCTAACGTCATTATGAGACTTAAATGTCCACAAAATTTCATCTACTTGAGAGAATCTCTCTTGATCGTTCAATGGAATGGTCCAAATTCCTTCCATGCTTGTAATATGGACTCTTTAAATAGAGTTATAGCTTTCCCTTGAAAAAGGTAATACATAGCCTGAGCTAGAAGAGGGAAAGAAACTAGAGAAGAGAGCTGAAGTTCAGTATTCTACAATGAAGGTCCGATGAATGTTTAATGCTCCTACAGCTAACAACCACTATTTGCTGGTCACCGTTGACTACCATCGACCATCACCTTCTTTCTGTGATAAAATGCATTGCGAAGTAACAATCATTGTTGAGTCACAAAGTAACCTACTAGGAAGTTTATCATCCTAAACGTCGTGCCAACCCTCGAGACAGTGTACTGAAGTTTAATTAATTAAGCATTTTTTAGGGGCATAGTGGATTTCAATTTCTCGTGTACAAAGGAGAGAAGAAGAGCATTCCAAAGTATTCTGAAGTGTGGAATGACTTGAGTGTCGTGTAATTCATATATTTCTCTTCATTTTCTTCACAGTGGATTTCTTGGAGAGTGTGGCTCAGTGGTTTTTTCCCTTTCTCGAGTATTTTCATGTTAAATCGTGTGTTTTCTATGGTTGCCTTATTTTGTGCACTTTTGTTCAAAGTATTGTTTTGTATCTCTTGAACCTATTTTCATGGTTTGATCATAGCCCCACAATAACATACCACGGGTTGTTGTTTCAAACTGCAATCAAATCATCCATTCACACTTGAAACAATTTGAATAATGTAATAAAAAGTTGTGGCTATTTTTTGCTCTCGTCATTTTGTTACCGGTATCAATATTGCAACAAGTGTATTTATGTCAAAAATTTCTTTCGCGATGATAAATTTGTCATTCAGCAACCATTTCAATGATCACAAATCATTTTAAATTTAAGTTTCGAAATACTTTTCATATAAAAAATTAAAATAAAAAAATAAACAAATAAATAAAAATTATAGAGCTGGTGACCACTTACCAGTTCGATCAACCGCCGGAGCAGGAGAAATGTCCTGGATCAGCGAGCGGTCGAAGAAGATATAATTATTATAAGTTACGATGCAGCTCAAAGTCATGGATCCTCCTCCAAGCGAATAAAGCCCATGATTTCCTCCGTAATTCTTCAACCCCTCGCCCAAACACTCGTAACAATCGTCCGGCGCCAGATCCATCGTGCACCAAACCAAACCATATATATCACCATTCATATCATTCGTCTTCACCCCCGCCCCAATCCTCAGCGCATTATTCTTCGCCTCCAGCATCAGCCCTTCCAACAGCTCCCCCACCTGCTGCCCGTACTCCGCCGGGTTGGCAGCCACATCCTGCCGATACAAATTGTTGTAATCCCGATTTTCGCGCACAGAAGCGATGTCTTGGTCGTCGTAGCGCAGAACACAGTATTCGTTGCGCACCGAGACAGATTTCTTTCCCCGGCATGTCTCGTTCAAGGACAAAGCAGCAGCGCGGTTGAGGCAGTCGGCGCAGATTGCGGCGGACTTGTCGGGGCGGCATTGAGCGAGGCCGAAGGCGGTCTGCTTCTGGACGAAGCCAGCGGTGTCCTTGAAGAAGAGTTTTTGGGTTTTGGGAGTGGTGGAGATGAGGTTGGATAGGAGGAGTTGGAGGTTCGTGGCATAGAGGCTAGCTGAGGTGTAGTTTTCGGCGGAGGGGCAGGAGATGTATAAGGGGTCGTCGGCTGTGATGGGAGGCGGTGTGGTGAGGATGTGTGAGATTATGAAAAGAAGTGAGGGGATGCGGAACGAGGACTGAGTTGTCATGAGCTGTCGCATGGTGTGTACAATGACTTTTGGGGGGTTTTAAAAGGACGTTTCGGGGGAATCATGTTGGGAGTGAGAAAATAAATAGAGGAACGATTCTGATGACTTGTTCTTGGGGAAATTTCAGGAGAGATTATTGCGTGCGGACACCGCCGCATGCATCTCTGCATGCGGTGTTCGATCCTGGCCGTAGATCACGGTGATCTACGGTCAGGATTATTTCCGTTTTTAAAAAAAATTAATAAAAAATTTTAGGTGGGGCCCACCGAAATACATCAGGACCGTGCGGACGCCGATCCGCATGGAATAATTTTTCAAATTTCAGTGTCGGAATTGCATCCAATATAATATATAAAATAGGGGGATTTTCATGCCTACATTTAAAATTCACTTATTTACCCATCAAACGCGTTGAAGCTGTTATTTGTGGTTGGAACACTTAAATTATCACGACTTACTGAGGGACTGATTGGGGTGAAATGATGGTCATAAAGCTGTCGTAAAAAAAACTTTTTTTTTATAAAGTTATATATATATATGTATATGTATATGTATATCTATATGTATATCTATATGTATATGTATATCTATATGTATATGTGTATAATGTGTGTGTGTATATATATATATCTATGTATATGTATATGTATATGTGTATGTGTATATGTATATATATATATGTATATGTATATAATGCTTCAAATTGAAAATAATCACTTTTCATCATGAAAATTTCTAGAAAATAGTTTCCTAAATAGAACTGTGGATCGATTGCATCTCCAAAGCAATCCAAGACAATAGTAAGAGATTAAGGCAAAGGAATTTTTGACTGGTTGAGTATATGTGAGCTAGGTGTAAGGGATTCGAGCTATAGAGGGAGTAGGAGTGTTCATTGTATTTCAATTGCTTGAGTAGCCATAGCAACAACGAGAGTTGGGGGTGAGTGTGATGAAAGTTTGATCAGAAGGTTGAGTAGCTTAATTAGAATGATAATTATGCCCATAAGACTTGTACCACTACTCCGTTGAATTGCATTTGTGGTCTATAGTGTTTTTTTTTTTGTAATCAAATTTGTTTATGATCAATTAAATGTGTTGTGATATTATCAAATTAAAAGAAAGATCCAATGGCTATGAAACAAACTTTTAAAGTTGATTTGGTTGGTGTGATAAATTTAACTTTATCAAATTGTAAAGAATCATATTTGAAATACTTTGAAATGCACAATGATGCATATCATTTTCTTATGAATTTATTATGATGATTCTTTCTCAAATAATGGAAGGCAATTGATAGAGGTAATATTCAAAAAGTTTGCCATTGTTTAGAATTATCCCGAAAGCCTTAAGGTTGAATGAAGTGTGCAAGTGTGACAATTATTGATGTTCTTGCACCTAAACATACTTAGCTTCTTGTTTAGCTTTATTTTAGTAGTTTTATGTAAAATTGCACACTTAGAATTTTAATGCACGCAAATAATACAATATAATTTTTTTTTCAACGAATCATTATTTTTCAAAATGGACTTTGCATTGCGACGACATCATTCAAATATGGCAAATGAAGCTCTTTGCGCTCAAATTCTAACCCACTTGGAGTCCCATTGAGTAGATAAAAATAGGAGAGAGAAAATGATAATTTTAGTACTAAAAGTTAATTTACAAATAAGTGGCATAATATGTCTAAAATATATAGTGTTTTTAGACACATTTTTATACCTATTTCTGAGA